GGAGAGCTGTGCTGTGCTGTGCTCTTCCTCTCTCACCTGTCACAGGAGTTCTAGCACAGCGCTGTGCTAGAACTCCTGTATTGGAGGTGACAGGGTCAATAAAGAGAACCTGTCATCTCCAATTGCTATCACACAGGGGATTGTTAGCTCCTGTGTGATAGTAATAAAGTTGAGTAAAAAAAAAAAAAAACATTCATAAAAGAAAAAATTATAAATTTGTTTAACCCCTTCGTGACGGGAGACGTACACTGTACGTCCAGCCACAAAGGGACCAAATGACTTGTCACGTACACTGTACGTGACGAGTTATTTGAATTTGACATTCCTGGTGGCCCCCTTTAACCCATTGTTAGGACAGACAGCGTTCAAATCTCCACCCCAGCCGAGCAAAACTCAGCACAGAGAAAGAGGTTCCATGTAACGGATATAAAATAAATGATATCCCAATTTGGCTGCAAAAGTGGACACACACTTTCAATATCCAATCAAATCCGAGGGAAATGAACCAGCCGGCACGAGATTGGTTGACGTGAACGCAGCTTCCCCTCATCTACCGATCTCAGTGAACGTTCACCTTGCCGAGTGGCCGGTCTCCGCTCCTTTAGCACATCGCCTGCAATAGGTTCTATAAAAACACGTCGGGCTCAATGCACAAAGCTAAACACGCCACCGAAAAAGGGACAGATTCAGCGTAGTCCAATGAGATTGGAGAATGACAGTCACATGACCGAGAATGAAGATCCTGATCCTTGCGTACAGCTTTGTGAATTGAGCCCAGATACGGGTGGCCTCCGCGGCAATGGCCGCCGGTCATGTCAGGACACGTCATGCGCAACGTCACCTCTGGCGTCCTCCGGCCTCGCACCAACTGAAATGTCGTCCACAGAAAATCTTCAAAAATAAAACTTCACGCGGACCGTCTTCATATTCCGGAGAGACTCTGGGGGGGGGGAGAAAGAGAGGAAAGGGTGAGAATCGTACGGAGGACTCAGGGCATCTGCTGTGTATG